ATATGAACCTAATGCAGTAGCAAACTACAAATTTCTTATAAATTGTAACGCGTGAAAAATAGCGACGACAGTGAAAAGATGATTGTGCAAAAAGAATGAGGAAAATGTTCGTATGAAACGGATAGGGACAGTGGACGTAACAAAATAATTGCAGAAATAAGCGTCCGTTTGAGTTGTAATTGAGACTGATAAGTGCAAATAATAACATAGATTGGATCTACCAAACAAATTATTAATTTATCAACTACATATGGACAACCACATACATACCAATTCTTACTTATGTGTCACGTTAATAAACTGAATTATATAAATAGCACAATCGAAAAAATGGATATTAGAAATAGATTATTATGGGCCATATGAGTCGTTCAATATCGACCATTTATCAATCGTTCATAGATATGTCTCTCTTCGATCGGTTCATATCATTCTTTAAAAGAATTCCTTACTTAGAAAGTAATTTCAGCTTAATTCATCATTTGCTACAACTCAATGCTTCATTATTCATTTTCTAGAGAATTTCTTCGTTCATTCCTACTTTTGATTGATTTGTACTGATTTATTCCATCATTCAACGTATTCAATCGGATCAATTCGAATTTCTACATCTAGAGCTCGTGAATATATCTTCCATATCACTCTCGCGGTCTAATGTGCACTTGATTGATGCAACGAATTATTTATGGCCTACATTCAAAACTTACGTCAATTCCAGGTATAAGTTACTGAACTGATTGAAGTAGTCAACGAATGAAAATTGTTGTGACAGATTGCTAGACGGAGAGTAAACGAATGCGACGGTTCAGTAATTTGGTAAGGTAGTAAGCAAAAGTAACGGAACATCAAACGCTTACGACGTACTTTAATCGTCGTTACTAATTTCAGAAGAGGGAATTTGAAGCTTTATGATCCACATATATGTGAATGCAGTGAGCACATGAGTTTTTGGATCTCCAGGGAATACGGAATAGCATCAAAACATTATTGGAATAGCATTTGCTACTTTATATATATATATATATATATATATAT